CCCCCTCCCCCAGGGGGTGTCAGTCCCTTCCCCGCTCTGCCTGCAGTACCCCCTCCCCCCAGGGGGTGTCAGTCTCCCTCCCCCGCTCTGCCTGCAGTACCCCCTCCCGCCGGGGGGTGTCAGTCTCTTGCCCGCCCTGCCTGCAGTACCCCCTCCCCCCAGGGGGTGTCAGTCTCCCTCCCCCGCTCTGCCTGCAGTACCCCCTCCCCCCAGGGGGTGTCAGTCTCCCTCCTCCCCGCTCTGCCTGCAATTCCTCCCGCTGCCTCCAGGCTGCGCCGCCGCTCCGCCGGCCGTTGGGTTTCCGCCTCAATCTGCCGTTGTCCCTCGGGCGGGCGGTACGCAGCGGGAAATGAGCAGCGGCGGATCGGCGGGAGCGGACTGAGTGAGGAGGAGCGGAGCGGAGCGGGGGTCAGCATGGCGGAGGCGGAGGGGCCGGCTCCGGGCCTGGCCATGGTCCCGGGCCCCGGGATTGCGGTGGTGGGGGCTGGGCCGGGTTCTGGGCCGGGAGCGGCGCCGCTTCTTCCCCGCTCCCTGGAGCGGGCCCTGGTGGAGGCGGCAGGCTCCGGGATCCTCGCCCTGAGCGGCCGCAAACTGAAGGAGTTCCCGAGGAGCGCGGCCGCGCTGGACCTCAGCGACACGGTGGAGGCAGGTGGGCAAGCGCTTAACTAGCCGCTAACTAACTTAACTAGCATAACCAGCCGTGCCAGGCTCTGCCATAACCTGTGCCTCCCTGAGGAGTGGCTAGTTAGTATAACTAGTTAGTGACAAGTTGGACTTATTAACTATTAATGTAACTGTCCAGCTAGTATAACTAGTAGTACAACTAGTCTAACCAGAAGTGAGTGCACCAGCAATATCTGGTTACTGATATAACTATCAGCTTAGTTAAAATGTAACAGTGGACATAGCTGGTATATATAGAAAGTAACTAGTATAATGATGTATCTTGGATTGCATTAAATGGATGAAAAGCCAGAGATTTTCATTCACTCTGACACTTCACCTTTAACTAGCCGCTGGAGTCATTGGGAACTGATGCCCGACTGCCACAAAACTTTACAAGTTTACTTCTGACAAAACACAAATGGAAGTAGAAGATCTGATGGAGTTGGTGAGGCTTTGACAAGTCAGTAAAGCTGGCCATTTTAAGGTTGTGGTCTCATATGGGGGAGATGCTGATGTCGCATGCCCGTCATTGTCACCCAGTTACTAGGAACAGGGATGAACTTGGAGGCAACTGTTCAGTCTCGGGATGAGAGACTCACTGCCAGGCTGTTTGGTCACCAGATCTTGTGCACCATCACTGCCTGGTAATGTACAGGCTGCTGAATAAACTATAATCTACATCCTCAAAGTTGCTTGTCATGTAAAAGTATTTATCTCACAGAATGACTCATATTAGATTCCTGCCGGTTTGTGTACAGTGACGGTCCACGCTGTCCTGTGTGCAGTGTGGGTGAGGTCCACGCTGTCCCGTGTGCAGTGTGGGTGAGGTCCGCGCTGTCCCGTGTGC